TGTATAAATATTTTTATTCTTGTATTTATGAGACTCGTTTTTATTGAATGACAAAATATTTTTGTTTTTTGTATCTCTGTAATACAAGAAGATATTTATTGTGATAGGATCATTTTGACTTTGAAAAAAAAAGGTGTACTGGGAAAGGAGAATAATCAGGAGGAAATACCTGACATAAATTCAACGACATAGCAAACAAAAGTTAACCTATATATTTAGAATGTCATTGTGATATTCTTAAAGAATAGTAAATTTTACGTTCATTTATTCTTTCACAAAAAGAAAATGAGTGAAGACAAATTGTATAAACATATGAATTAAATGTTTTATATTTTTATAGATAAATTATTTAAATGAGATTTCTTTTGTTTTTCATGTCTTTAGTGAGTCTAATCTAGGACTTTTTTTTATTCTCGATTTGAATACATTGCCACTAATATAGTGGAATACGAGTTATATGCCTATTTTTTTTAAATAATTTTTTGCGATAATTGATAGTGGCGAGGCCCTAATAGTAGATGCAGAAAAAAGGACAACCAGTAACAAATAAAAAAAAAAAGAATTTACTCATAGTGAGATCAATAAAAGTCTAAATAGACTTACGAGGAAACCTTTGCAGTTGTCTCTTTCTGATTTCAATGATTTTTTGTCTATAGATACTACATAATGTTCTACTAGAAATCCTATCGATACTTGATTAAGCTGTCAAATTTTTCATATGTCTATTTACTAGAAATCCCGAGTTTTCAGAAAACTTGAAGTCCCTAGAAAAAAAAAGCTGTTAGCGCAATATTTGTGGGATTAAAATGTGAAACACGATGTAGCTACTGTTGCTAATCACAGGAGATTGCTTTATTCTATCTATTTTGGAACAAATTTCTTCATGATTCTTTTACTTAATCCTCCACAAATGCAATAAGTAAGCAGTTTAAGTATTAAAACGAGACGTTATTGATATACTGTGTGTGTTATGGTCTTTGATTAGTGTCTGTCACGAGCTGGGGAGGGGGGAGGGAGAGACAGAATTATTCCAAATTTCTACCCTATATACTTTAACACTTTTCTTAGTTCGTGTTTCACAATAGACATATTAAAAACTTGATAAGGTAGTGACATATCCAGAGGAACACAAACATTTTTAAGATTTTTATTAGAACACTATGTAGTATCTATAGAGACAAAAAAAAACATTGAAATCAAAATATGGCAGCTGAAGAGATTCTCTCTTTAGTAGGTCTGAAATTAAAATGTATCAAGAAAATTTTCTAAAATGTGCAAATTTAATAGATCATAATCAATTACCGAGCAAGGAGAGCAATTAGAAGCATACTGTTTTACACATTTTTCAAGAATAGATATACAGTGGGGGTCAGAAGTCTGGCCCCACTTTTTTGTTTTGAGTCGTGTATTAAAACTACACAAGATTAATTTAATTCAATTATATATTTGGATAGCAGAGATTGAGTACTCTATATATACATCTGTTCAATTCGAAAACCTCTTGAGTATGAAATATAGTAAGAAAAACAAACTTCAGTACTAAGAAAAATCTGACATAAAAAACTACAAAATGTTAATAAAAATGTTTCGAAGACTTTTTGTTGTGCAATAGGAATTTCTTCATACGGCTTTTATAGAGCTTTCGGCAGCGCATCTTTTGAAAACAAAGTCACGATGTTATCGTTTTCTTAAGCCGAGATATATGCAAAATATAAATGTCTTCCAAACATTTTTATTATGTTAAATACGGTGGAAAGTAGTACTATCATGTGTTTTCTTTTCATTTTGAGTATGGAAGAAACTATCAAAAGAAGTCAATAGGGTCTTGTTCTTACAGTTTTTGTAGAGCTTTTCATGGCGCATCTTTTGAAAGAAAAACTAAGATTTTATCATTTGTCTATGCAGGGGTATTCACAAAACAAGCTATGCTACAAACATTTTGGAACACTCGATATTTAATATTTTGACTAGAGTACCAACATTTCTCAATGAAATTCAAAATACTTTTATGTCAAAATGATCAGCGAAAAAAGCTCTACAAAGTCTGATAAAATAAAAAGTTTTCTGAATACGTTGTGGTTGACTGTTCATGGAAGTATCCTATAACAATAACATCATTTTACAGTTTTTTATGTCAGATTTTTCTTAGTACTGAAGTTTGTTTTTCTTATTATATTTTATATTCAAGATGTTTTCGAATTGAACAGATGTATATATAGAGTACTCAATCTCTGCTATCCAAACATATAATTGAATTAAATTAATCTTGTGTGGTTTTAATACACGACTCAAAATAAAAAAGTGGGGCCAGACTTTTGACCCCCACTGTATGTTCAACAAAACTTTTTGACTAATGCAAACATTTAATAGAGTATTTCTTCTGCAGTCAAGTTTTTCTGAACTCATTACGATTTGCTTGTTCTAATAAGAGTTCGTCGCATACACTCGCAAAAAAAGCTATCTGATCATTAAAGGCAATGCATAACTCTTCTCAGGGTGATGTAGTAGAAATAGTATAGGTCATCATGTTGTTTTTGTATAATAAGTGGGAACAATACAAATAATAACGTAAATAGAGGCAGTATATAAGACTAAAAAGGAGTTCTTCTCAATGCTGTAAATATAGTATCTACTATTCGAAAGAAATTTCCCATTGCAACTATCTGTCAAATATTAATCATTGTTTTGTTGATCATTGTATGCCAACCAGTTTTCGTTTACTCAATTTTCTTTTATCCTCTAGTGAAATTTCAAATTTTAAATTTTCTTTTTCATATGCTGATCATAGTGCTTCAGTTTTATCCAGATTAATTGATTGAATAGAAAGAATAGAATAAAACCCTAACGAACCAAGAAAAGATTATAATCTACACTCTAAATCAATACATAAGTTGCTATATCTGTCAACTACTTCACCTGCTAAGACTGTGGTTAAATCATCGACGAACAGAAAACTTGAACAAATATTTAAAAAATCTGTCAAATCATATAAGCCATATTAATTCTTTCAATCTACATAGAATATCTTGAGATGATATAATTTTGAACAGAGAATATCAAAGATCAACTGAAATATTTAAAGTATGCTGTATCAACAAGAATAGATTTTCTGTATTACAGCAAAGTTTATAAGAAGATTTTATGAGTATGTGTAAAAGATATAAATATCCATATCTTTTACCAATGAGTAGTCGAACTCGACTTACGAGAGAAGGTTCCCAAGTATGAATCACGATTTCGAATGGAAGATATTCCAGATTGTAGAGCTCGATGAGCTGATTCTCGTAGTATGGTTCGTTTTTCCCGATAGAACTTCGAATGCGAAAAACTGATCGATTTTGCTAGTGAATTTCTACACTTTCCATAAGTTTCGAGATAGTTGTTAGAAATTTAGAACTTCAAAGGTATTTAATTTTTCGATGGTCATAGTATAGAATAGAAAATGATGCATGTGATGATCTACTTTTATATTGTTTTAAGAGTAGATTCAACTGCATCTTCTGAATACAAAATAACATTTTTTCTCAGAAGCGCTAAAATACTTTCAAGTGTAATAATTCAACAACTACAATTCATAGCAATGGCGAAAATAAGTTGTACAAGAAAATACCGTTCTCTGATTCTTTGAAAATAATATAAAAATAGATCATCGCATGCGTCATTCTGTATTTTATAACATGATCATCTAAAAATGAAGTACCTTTGAAATTCTAAATTTCTAACAACTGTCTCGAAACTTATGGAAAGTGTAGAGATTCACTAGTAAAATCGATCAATTTTTCGCATTTGAAGTTCTATTGGGAAAAACGAATCATACCACGAGAATCAGCTCATCGAGCTCTACAATCTGGGATATCTTCCATTCGAAACTGTGATTCACACTTGGGGACCTTCCCTCATTAGACACATGGTCAAAATATTAGGATTTTATGAGCTAGCCTTAGAAAAATACATGGGATGTATTTTCTCAATTTTAATCCGCATAATTGAATCGTGCATAAAGCTCATGTGAATGTGTCCAATCGATTTCTATTATCAACTACAGTATGTGACAATATAGTGTCATATACATTAGCATCAGCATCATATCTTCTTCTTCTTGGATTGCTTGCGCGATTATTTTCGTTCTGTCTTTCAACGTTTAGTCCGCTGTATTAGTACCAGTGCTATATTTCTCGTTTCTCTATCCCTTACCGAAGCATTGAGTTTCACATTGTTGTCAGAAGTCATGCTGTTATTCGGTAGAAGAAAATACCTGTGCTCATGCTAACGTCTACGATACCCTATACTGTCAAATATGTTAATTAATAATAGACATCAATTCCACATGTTCATGCGGGTTTTATACAAGATTCAATTATGCGGGTTAAAATTGAGAAAATTCATACCATCTATTTTTGTAAGGCTACCATGTAGTAAAACCCTAATATTTTGGGTGCGTCTAAGTCAAGTCAGCTTACTTAATGACAAAAGATATGAATGTTTGTAGAATCAATACAATGAGCTTGATCTGCTGATGGTATCATTTTTCGATTTGGAAACATTCGTGTCTTTTACAGATACTCATAGTTTTTTTTTGGAAAACAGTTACATCCAATTCGATGAATTTTTATTATTAATATGATTAAATCGAATGTTGAACTTTTATTTAAAATAAGAAAGATAAAAGTCAGAACATTTTAATTCTTACAACATCGATGACGATTTTATTAACATATGAGCAAGATTGAAATAAATATTACATGAGAAATAATAAAAACAACAAACAAAACTTGTATATTTTTTAAATATACGAACAAAAACAACAAATATAATTGAGGCTTAATAATAATATCACCGAACATGAATCAAATATAATTGATTACATATATTCACATTTTTGTTGAGCATGAACTGGGTTTTTTTTGAGAAAATTGCAAAGTTAGCAAAAACAAGCTGAGATCACCAATCACCGGGAATCCAAAAATATTTTCTGCACGGGTTTTGTTTGTTTGTTTGTTTTACTGTTTCTCTGTTGAAAAACCATATTTACGAGTGAGTCGTGTTGGTGCTTCAAATGGATTAAGACGGCGATTCATATAATCATTATCTATATTATTATTCATTTGTAATGGACGTACTTTTGTGTTTTGTAATAAAGCATTTTGATTTAATAATTGTTCTTGTCGTTTATTACGTGTTTTACCAAATGAAATATTTGATATATCAATATTACGTCCATAACGTCGTTCAAGTTCTTCAGAATTCATATTTGATATTTCATTATGATAAACATTATTTGATTGTGATGGTATAATATAATCATAATTATAATCAGTTGGTTGTGGTAATAAAGATTTTGATGGTGAAATAAAATCATTTTGAAATATACGTCCATTTGTTGACGTTGGTAAATTTCCAACTTGTGGAAATTGAATTTCTTCTTTAATTGGATCTGGTACAATATATTCATTTTTTTCTTCATCATAACGAGCTTGATTAATAATTTTATCTATATTTGTATAATTACAATTACGTTCCATAGTACTACTCATTTTTTCAAGGATTGTACGAAAAAGAAGTAATTGTTTTTCTTGTGTACGTATTGTATTTAAATATCCTTGACGATCACGTTCAAATTCATGTTGTAAATCTTCATTGTCATTTTTCAAACGTTTATTTTCTGTATGTATTTGTTCTAATTTTTTAGATGTAAAATGAAGCTAAAATAGAAAAGAAAAATTTACTTTAGAATAACATTACAATTTGATTTATTTATGGCTCGCAGTAATTTCTCTTTCTCGAGGTCCTGATGAGTGTGGGATTAAAGTTAATATCACACATCTGTACTCTTGATATATATAAGCTAATAATAGAATCTTATCTCATGTTGATTCAAAGACATAATAATTATAAGATATTCTGATATCCTTGATAAAGAAAGTGATATTTTGATTTGTACTGTATCTAATACAAATAATCACCAATAGAAATATCAATAAGAGTTTGTGGGATGAAACAAATTATCTAGCTATAGAACCTCTTCCTTAAAAAGCGATCTTAGATCAAATACATGCAAGTCGGATGAAATTTTCAAGATATGTTGAGACTGTATTAAAGAAGTTATGCTAAAATTTTTAGCCCTATACTATGAGGTTTGAGAGAAGAGTCAAAAATAGATCATTTAGCAATCCAAAAGTTTCTATGGGCATCCATTCTATATATTTAATATCTTTTTTTTTATTTAAAAGGGCATGTCAGACTGTAATGCCTACCAGAATTCTTTTTTTTTAATTCTTACTTTTCAAGGGGTGAAAAGTGGTGACAAGTTCAATTCCTCGAGAAGCTCTCAAAAAATGAGGATTTATTTACAGAACTATTCTTTTATATGATAACAACAAAGCTTATTTTAGAAAAAAAAACGGGTTCTGTTAGGTACTGTCAAAATAGTATAAACAGAAAAAATGAAAAATATTTTTTGAAACAAGAGTTTTACGATATTTTAATATTTTTAGATATATTTTTTTGATAGATTTCAATGGAGTAATCACGGACTATCATATATCTTTTTGGATTGTATATAAATAAACTTTTTCTTAAAGTTTGTTTAACTTCATTATATAAGTAGTTTTATTTTCTACACTATTATCACAAAGAACTTGACTAAAAATGTTCGAGTATTGTTGCTTAAGCTCTCTTTTCATTACAAATTATATTCATCATAGATATTTTCGTGCTGTTAGGAAAACCAACACAGTAGTTATGATCTACAAATGAACACTAGACTGCTATTCAGCGCTCTGAGCTGGATAGAATGTCGGTTGACTGTACGAGTCTGAAAAATATTAGAACACTGTTGTAAACGACATCTGCTATTTTTAAATCAGAGAATATCGTAGAGGAAATCATAATGAAATTTAGTCGCGTTCATATGTTGTGGATCAGCTGGTTAGTGAAAGATAATGAATCTGAATCAGCTTTTGCTTCTCATCTATATTAGCCATTCGAAAATATTTTTCCACATTCGAGACTTCGTGGTAGACGATTCTATCTTGCAGAAGAGGATAATTAATTAACGCATATATGCATTTGACATCTTAGATATGTATGGATACTCTAAGACTGAATCATGCATAGCCATAGAAAGCAAACTATCAGCTGTTAATTATCATTTTCGATATTTTTATATCTCTTGAACGCCGTTGAATTTCGAAAAACGGATTTCAGATATGCACTCATCACGTTCTTAGGATCTTGTCAAGCTTTTGTTCGACTGAAAATAATGCTTAGGAGCTGAGAACGAGTGAATGACTTGAATCGTGTTTTCTTTTTATGTGAATCTTTGTCATATAAAAAAATTTTTTGTTATCTATCAATTAATCATGATTTTGAATTTTCTATAATGATTGTTGAAATTTATTAAAATCTCTTTACGTTACCTTAAAGTGCTTATTTTTCATATGAACACGTCAAAATTCATTCTGTCGAGGAAACAATTCGTGTTTTATAAGCCGATGATGAAAAAAATCATCAAAAAATTTCGGCACAAAAAAACAGGAGGGTACCGAATAGAAAAATCATGTCATTTGTGAAAGATGAGACGTCGAACTATCTTTCCATGCATTTATCTCAATTTCAATTTTTCTGACGAAAATTGATTTTTTCTTGAAGAAAGGCCTTAACAGTCGTGAAAATTCGTATTTTACTAAAGGTTTTTTGTCGGAATTCAAGAATGTCCCGCAGGACTCTATGCTTTACTCAAAAAAAATACATATCGTCATAGTCGTAAAAAATTGAATATTGTTTATCTTTGATAATAATTATTATCATTTATAAACTTAAGAAAATTAATATTTACAATAAAGAGAAAATAAAATAGTCGACAGAAAAATTCAAAAAACAAAATCCTATTTGAACAAACCTCTTCTTGAACATTATCAAATACTTTCATCATCATATCATCATCATTGATATCAATTGCTCTAGTAAAACGTTTTCGTTGTTCTTGTTTTTCACGCATTTCATTTAATTTCTTTTTTCGTTTCTTTTTTTTTTCTTCATTATTTATTTCTTCACCACCAATAAGTTTATTTTCTAATTCATGTAAACGTTGAAGTTTTTCTTGTGAATCCATTTGATCGATAGATATTGATATATTATCATCATTTTCATATTGATCATTAAATGATATTTGTTCATCACGTTTTTGTTTATTAGAATTAATTTTCTTTTTAGTTTTATTACGATCATTATTTAATTGTTGATCTAATAATAAACAAATATATATATATAATTTTCTTTTTTTAAATTGATATGTAAATTTTTGTCAACCTTTTTGATTATTTTTATTATAATTAAGTGCATCTATTTCATTGTCATATTGTCCTTTTAAATCGTTATATTTTCGTTGTAGTTCTTCTTTAGTTAAACGTTCTTCTTTACATTGTCTACGTAATTCGGATGCTTCACGTTCGAATTCAACACGTAATCTTTCTTTTTCTTTTTCAATTTCTTCATCATAGTCGACCTTTATTATCTAGAAATAAAACTATTCATAGAAAAGAAGCCTTTCATTCTTGTTTTTAATGCGGTGCGAAGCATAGCATTCATGTAATCGTGTGCGAGGCTTTGTTTTTCTTTTTTTTTTCCTCATTCTATTTCTTTATCTATACATATATATTCATTTTCACATAGGGTCTACTAAGAAACATGTCGCATGAAGATAATAGAACTACGAATAAAGTTTACGTTTCTTATAATCAATTACATAATATTATTTATCAAACTGTTCAACGTACAAAACTTGTCGAAAAATTTTCACCAACACTACTTATTGCTATAAGTGCTGGCGGATTTTTACCAACACGAATTTTACGTCATATTATTAAATCTGAAATAGGTGGGAAATCATTACCAGTACAAACAATTGGGTTATGTTTATATGAAAGTGAAAAACATGAAATATATAAAACTCAATGGATATCAACAGATCGAAGAAATGATCCATTAGCTGTATCATTAAATGGTCAACATATTCTTATTGTTGATGAAGTTGATGAAACACGTACAACATTAAGTTATGCTGTAAAAGAACTTGAAAAAGATATTGAAAAACAACGAATTTTATCAAAAGAAAATAATGAAGAATGGATTGAACCAAAATTAGGTATTTTTGTTGTACATAACAAAACAATTCCTAAACGTGCAAATTTACCAGATGATATAATGAAAAATTTTTATTATGTTGGAGAAAATGTTGGTGGAGAATGGATTGTTTATCCATGGGATGCTTTAGATATTGATGAACATACACATTTAGCAGAAAATTATAATAAAATAAATCAACTTACTATTCCATCAGATGGTAATAATTGATTACTATGAGTTATATTACTAGCATTAAGAAGTTCTTGCTTAAGACGATTTATTTCTTCTTGTAATAATTTCATTTGTGCATCACGTGGATCTTCATTAATATGAGGCTTATTTTTGATATTTTTTGCTCGATTAGCATCTAAATGTATTCACATTTACATAATAAACAACAAAAAAAAACAAAATTTAACTTACATCGTAATGTTGAAAGTGTTTCATCATAATTATCATGTGCTGGACTTATAGCAGCAATCTATCATAGATATATTTATAGATAATTTTTATTTTCAAAAACAAAAGAAGTAATAAAGGATCTTGCCGGATATGGGATGACCTATATTGAACTAGGATATCATATGTATAGTTTTGTAGAGTAATTTGCAGTGCATCGAATAGTATATATAAGATATAGACATTATGATCTGTAAGATATTATAAAATAAACTTAGTATGCAAGCTGGATTTCTAAATTCACTTCAATACAGTCATAGATGCTCTTCGATCTGTTATAATCAATTCTTTTCATTGATGCTTTCTTCATTCAAAAAATTGGTACTTTTTCTTGGGCTTAAATTATTTCTTGACTACTTGATATTTCAGTGTATTCAACTCTATGCCTTAGGACAAGTGAATATCAATGTAAAACTCTGTTAAAAAATTGCATAATATTGAGCTCTATTTGTTTTAAACATAAAGATCTTTCGAGACAGAAAAGATTTATTGTTAACTTGCAAAATTGTCCCCCTAGAATAGCTTATTTTCCTGTATGAAGTAGCCTGTATATTGATGATATTTTAATAATATTCAATAGTTCTATTAAAAATTTTTGTGTATTAATAAGAAGCACTGCATTCCTGATGAATTGATATAAATAACTTCTTTAAAAATGAAGAAAAAATATTTTTTAGCCTTCAGACCCCTGGAAGCAGTACAAGGCATGATAAAATACGTGTTTAAAATGGAGATGAGATAATTATACATTCTTCTAGAGTTTCATGCATAAATCAAACCTGGATAATCAGAATAAAAATTTGAAAAAGAAATAATAAAAATAAGAAACCTCCTTCCTGCAAGCCTATATCTGTATTTCCTTCCAGGATCTGGAAACCAAAAATTTTTTTTTTCTTCATTTGTAATGGAGTTATTTATATCAATTCATCAGAAATGCAGTGTTGATTATTGATGCAGAAAAATTTCTAATAAAACTATTAAGTATTGATAAAATATCGTCAACGTACAGACTACATCATATATATGAATACAAACTATTCTAGGGGACAATTTTGCAAGTTAACAATAAATCTTCCTTGTCTCGAAAGATCTTTATGTTTAAAACATATAGAGCTTAATAGTATGCAATTTTTTAACAGAGTTTCACGTTGATATTCACTTGTTCTGTGACATAGAATTGAACATACTGAAATATCAAGTAGTCAAGAAATAACCTAGACCTGTGAAAAAGGACCAATTTTAAGTATGAAGAAAGCACCGATGAAAACTATTGATTATAGCAGATCGAACAGTATCTATAACTATATTAAAGTGAATTTAGAAATCAAACTTGCATAAGTTTATCTTATAACATCGTATGAATCGTAATATCTATGAGTACCATATATATTTCTCAAGAATTAGAACCAGTATATGGACTCTCGGCACATGAAAACTTGATCAAAACTTAATCTTCTATATATACCATTTGATGTGCCACAAATTACTCTACAAAACGAGATATATGATATCCTGGTTCAATATGGACCAACATATTCGGTAATTTTCTTGATTTATTTAATGTTTTACCATCAATGTTTTTGTATTACCACCAAGTGAATCTTGTAAAAGACGTGTTAGTTTCGAATCTCGATAAGGTATATGTTTAGAATGACCATCCACCAAAGCAGAAATAACATTACCCAAGGCACTAAGTGATAAATTAATTCGAGTGGCTTCACGTAAACGTTCACCTTCGGCATCTATATTTAAAAATAAATAGATAAGTATTTTATATCAGAGAAAAATGAATACTGTATTGAAAGTTGCTAAAAATATTGTTAAGATTAATGACAGCAATCGCTCAAAACTCAATCCAAGGTAAAAACTGTCTTTTTGAGAGCATGTTCGAGAACTGAGATCTGTATCATTCACTCTAAAAGTATTATGACAATCAGATAAAATTAAAAAGTAAGATAACGACACGATATGATCTAATTCAATCCATAGTAGTCTCTGCGATCGTATCATACTGACTTTTATACTATAGTCAAATGATTTTTGACAAGCGAGTATATGTAACCGAAATGGATTGAAGCTTAATCGAATTTCAGTTTAGATTTGGATGTAATAGGTAATAATGCTTTCAATTGTGAACTAGTTTCACAAAAAAGAAACATGTATAGTAAAAGTTGTGAAATTTTTAACAGCTAATATCTATTTATTAAGAACTTAGAATAGAAACTTGTTACTCACGTGTTTTTGATTGTCGTTCACTACCTGCTAAATCAACTAAATTAAGTTTTCCTACTCGAATATGGTCTTTTCCATCAAGTTCACTTCGAGTACACATTTCCGTAAGAATAGTAAAAATTGAATGAGATCGTGATGAATCTTTATTCATAAGTGTAGCACCCGTTACTCGACTTTTATTTCCTTTATCCATCAATCGTTCACAATCGACTACACTTGTACATTGATGCCATGTTAAATTTGGTACGTGTACACCTTTATCTACATGTTCCTTTTTGTTTTTTATAAATAGAATATTTAATAAATTTTAGAAAAAAATGACCGAAATAATTCTATATTACTTTGAGATCAAGTGTTGCTTTAACATCCTTACCAAGTAAATCACGAATACTTTCATTATATATTTCAAGATACGATGCACGGATAAGATATTTTGTACCAGCTGCAACTGATGAAGCTTCGAATATATGCTAAAAATGAACGAATTACTAAGAAAAAAAAAACATCTTACGACTAATCGTATACAAACAGTTTGAATAATTCTTTTTTTTTCTGTTCTCAAATTCGTATGTACAGTATTCTTTTTACAAGTACTTTTGTTTAAAAAGATAAATTCTTACCTCAAATGATCGAGGTATAACACCACGTTGTAGAGATCCGGGTGTATTAATTCCTTGCATTGTATATGATTTTCCACTTCTACAAGTTAAATGTGATTTTTATTACTATAAGACAAGAAAATCATATTATACCCTGTTTGTCCATAAGCAAATACTGTTGCATTGTAGCCTTCAAGTACCTGTAAGATAAATAAATTTTCTTTATCATTATCATTTCAATTATATTTTAATTTACACTTTCAACTAGTGGAAAAACAGAGTCAGCATATATATTTTCCGTTACGGAATCCACTGGATAGACTGCATCGAAAGTGAATTGTTTTGGTGGTTCATTGCTTTGTTCAATATTTTCTAACATGATTTGATTTATTTGTGTATTCATAGAAACTATTGTCTAAAACAAGAAAAACAAAAACAATTTAGGTCGCTAGATATATTTGGAATATTAATGTAAGAAATATCTTACTTGAGATTTTAAATCTATCTCACGTTGATTTATAGGTCGACATCGTACAATTACACGAACAGTTTCACCTGTATTCGATGCAGCCATTATCCGTACTTTTTTAATAAAGTATTCAATCTGAAAATAAGACAAATGAAAAAAAAAACAAAGAAACGAATAATAATAAAAAATAAGCAAACAATAATAATATAGTATTATGATGATGGCATTACTTATGTTGTTAACTCACTTGATCTCAAGTGTTTTACAGACAGAATACAATTAAAAAAATATAGAAGACAAAATAACCATGACAGTTTATGTTGCTATTCGAGATGAATGTAATTGCCTTCGTCTTGCAAGAGAGGACGCCATTGTGCACACACAGTCAGAGCCTGATGATTCATCAAATTATTAGCACGACCTGTACTTGGAAGGAAGCCACGTATGGATATACTTCTTTGAAGGTTCTAATTTTTGTCATTCGTAGTCATAAAGTTAGAGAGACATTTTAGTATAATTTGTTTTTCGAATTTAAGTCGCATTGCCAAAGTTATGGTTGATAAGTAGCGACAAGTACACAGTATTAACTCTTTTAAAGCAATAGAAACTTTTCATCGAAAATCGTTTACGTTCTCGCACGTTTTTACAAGGCAGAAATGACTTGCCATATAAATATAACAATTTTACATATTTTTTATTCATTTTTTATATTGCTTGTGTTTAATTAACATCTGTTTTATACTTATTCATTATGAATCCAGATAACAAGTGTACTTCTCACTTCTTGACACAATTTCTAATTATCACTTTGAAGGGAGGGTGTGAACATAGGCGGCACGCCAGCAATGCAATAGTAAGCAATTGCAACCCCTAAAATAAATTATTGGAATCAATAAGAACACTATTGCTTCCTCTAATTTTTCACGCTTTCTGTATATTGTAGAGTAAAACTACTTTATTCAGCATATATATACTCGATGTAATTCTGTATTTTATGTGTGAAGATCGAATTTTAGTCTTAGATATTGTTTATTGCTATCCTGATGTATCTGTTTCTCGTAATATACATGAGGTGTCCCACAATAATGGCCAATTTTTCCATTTCATATTTTAATCTTTAAATACATTTTTAAAAAGCACAGAAAATAGCACTAGATGCAGCATGAAAATCTGTGCAGCTACAAATGAAAGCTTATTTTAATTGTATACTTGGTATTTTCAAAATAAATGGAATTTTGCGCAATCAATTTTCGACGCTGCACAAAACGGTCTCACAGAATTTTGTTTCTTTTCAAAGCAAAAAGTATACAATTAAAAAAGCTTTACTTTGCACACTCACAAGCATTCTGTCATTCGCACTCAGATAGACCTCGATAAGATCTATCGCATGGTATCTGATTCAATCCTACTTATCGGAAAAAATCCGTTATATCTGCCTAACAACTGGTATGACGTGGAATATTAGCCCATGTTATGACGAAATCTTCGTTCATTCATTTGTATCAAGTGGGAAAGTGGTTTCATCTGTTAGAATTGAAGATCTACCGAATGATGACGGAGTGTGGGTGTGAGTGTGGATATGTATGGATAGGTTTAGTGCTTAGTGCAGAGGTGCAGAATCTGCCGTAAAATTAAAAAATTTCCCCGCACGCATAATAACTCTCCAAAAATTTCCCCCACTATGAAAATAGAAGGAATTGTCTTTTCCCAACCCAATCTTTAACTGAATATGTAAAAAAAACATAAAACAGAAATAATGCTAGCAACAACTAGAAAGGTTATTTAAAAAAATGATTTTTATCAATCGTCATTTAATTCTGGTAGTCTTGGTACTTGTTCACTTCGAACACGATTCAATACGAGTGAAACAGGAGATAATAATTTCCATGGTTGATACTGTTCACTTTTCCTATAAAATAACCAAGTTTTGTCCTTTTTGTTTATAAAATAATCATCTATTGATTGTTCAATAAATTTATCAGCTAAATGCAACGGTGGAGCATTCTAATGAAGAAATACTTCGTCATCAAAAGATTTGTGTTGTAAAGAACGGTTATTGTGAATATGACCTTTTAATATCGATGCTGCTGATTCACAAATAGCTTCACTTCTAATTTTTAATATCATTAATGAATAAAAATGAAGAAAATCATTTATTCCTTCCGATAAATCTATAATAGTGTAAAATGTTTTCATCACTTTGGATGTCAATATTTTCCCGTTAGTTGTCCAAACACTAAAAGTATTTTTATCTTGTATTTCATTTAAACAACGTTACTTCCACTCTAAATAATGATCTTGAATAACAGGCGCATTTATCAGTTTCTTTGAATTTGATACAGTAAAATCAATTAGTTTTTGCAACTCACACTAATACTAATTGATCCGAAACTGAATTTGTTGTTGGACTTGTACAAATAGAAGTTGACGAAGGAGGTGATACATGAGAGTTACTTAATGAAGATAGCGACGGAGAGACAACAGTAGAACACTCCTCCTCTTGTTCTTGTACATCATCATTAATAACATCTGCTGTTGTTGTTGTTTCACGATTTATTTGCTTTTGAAAGAATTTCTCCATGTTGTTTTCAACAATCTTTAATTTGAATATTTTACCAGGATGGTGTTTTTTGCAATGATCATTCGCATTGTCTTTATGACCATTCAGGGTTGCCACTTGTGTCGCTAGTATCTACGTCGTTGTCCGAATTGTCCGAATTACTCACGTTAACTGTAGCGATCACCTGGCAACCCTGCGACCATTCCAATCACAATAAAAACATGTTACTTTTTCTTTACTTGGATACATTTTTATACGTTCAAATAGAAAAGATTCAATCCGATTTAAAGAACCAACAAAGAGTTATAAACAATAAGAAAAGCAAGGGACAATGATGTTTTTCATTATTATTCTCAAGATAATGTTTCGTCTTATATATATCGTTTCTTTCTTCTTTTCTCTTTTCTCTTTTCTTTTTTCTTCTTTGATCTGCTACGTAGTGGGGATATTTCCCGATGAAAATATAAATGTGTGTTTATTAGTGCATGGCGTGTGTATTATAAAGAAAAAAGAAAACAAAAGCTAGTTTTAACTGTAACCTTAGTTGGACGAATTTCTTTGATAACACCCACATTTGAAGAAAACAACACAGCAAAACAAGATGTGATATATGAGATGTACAGATCGAAAGAATAATACGCTGAATTCGAATGTTAAAAGAATCAAAAGAAAATTAGTTATACTAATTGTTCTCTACTAAAAACAAATTTTAGAATCTATGCTTCAAGTTCATACCATGATTCGTACAAAATAATTTCCCTAATTTTCCTCAGAAATTTTCCTAGAGCCAATAATTTCCTAAAATTTTTACTGCAGTCAATAATTTTTCAAAAATTTCCCCAAACACAAAAAATTTCCCCGCACGCGCGTGCGCGCACACATACAGATTCTGCACGTCTGGCTTAGTGTGATTCTTCTCTACATCCATAGTCACATTCACACCTACACCCATATCCGCACCACCCACACTCACCAACGAGATAAGTATCTCATTGTGATGAGGTAGAGAAGGCTAATGTTTTGCCCAAACAGAATTCAAGAGAAAGTCATGCTTTCAGAAATTTCGAGTTGTGCGGCTTGAATCAAGAAAATAGCAACAGGTCTGGTTCATAAAGGATGTGGATATATAGTTTGTTACTTTGTTGACTCGATAAGCAAAATGAAGTTTCCATTTTTCTATTCTTCACATTTGTAGCGAAAACTTTTAAAAAGTTCAAGATTTCTATCTTTGGGTAGTCCTGAGTAAAGAACTTTAAAAAATAAATTATTTTTGGTTGGTAAGACGGTTTCAATCAAATCAGTTTGATACATGTTGAAAATATTTTGAACCATTATTCCATCTGATTGGCTTGAAATCGATTTTTTGCTTGTAAAGAAAAGAAAAATGTATCCTTAAGATCAGTCTCAATAATAACATCACGATCAGTATCTTGCCAAACAAACATCTAACGAGGACTTTGATCAGTGAAAGAAAGAAAACGTCGAATTTTTCCTTTGGGAATTAGTCAAAGTAATTACAGAGATATTTTTTATATGACACTAACATGATACGTATTCATTCATTGAATTAAGCCTTATTTAAACGCAGATGGTTTTGAAATTCATGCAAAAGAAATGTAGCTTTTTTTTTCTACGTTTAGAACGTTTTTCGTGCCATCTAATTATAAGAAAAAATGTCGTTAACTCTTATCAAAAAAGAATCTTTTATCCAGGTAAATGTAAAAGAGAAACTGTTGACGAGATATATCATAAACAAGGAGCGCTGTTGTTACATTAGGAGATAAAATTCACTATCAGTCATTTTTCCTCATACTCATTTTTTCAAGTATTAGTTAGAAGACTTACCGAATCTAAAAATCTATTAAAAATTTCTTCACCATTATTAAGATTAATTTGCTTTATTCTACTTACAAGTAAATAAATTATGGAGGAAATTGATTATATTCGAGGTGGTTTGGGAGACAAATTATTGACACAAATAACAAATATTCAAGAAAAAACAACTATTCTTATTCAAGACAAAAGTTTCGCATTTTTCCGAATGTATTCAATCCAATTGTATATTCAGCCACTCTTTATTTTACGCGTTCATTATTAGAATTAGTTCAACATATAAAACCTCAGCACATGTTGGAACTTGGTACAGGTGCTGGTTACAATGCAATTTTAGGTGCTTTGAATGGAGCTGCCTATGTTACTTGCACTGATGTATCGCAAGTAGCTGTGAACAATGCACAGGAAAATATTGATAATCACCAATTAGGAAATCGTGTGACCGTTATTCGTAGTGATGTATTTGACTCACTACCATCAGAATGTAAATATAAATTCGATTTAATTTTCTGGAATTTTCCATTTGTTCACATCAATAAACCGGCTAGTGAGTTAACTGATTTAGAACGATGTGTATATGATCCAGAACATGAAGGGATTGACAAATGTTTACGTGACATTAAACAGTTTCTTGTACCGGATCGTGGTCGAGCATTCTTTGCCTTTTCTACTACTCTTGCCAGTATGGAACAATTTTCTGACGTAGCTGCGAAGAATAATTGGAAATTACAGCTTGTTAATGAATATGAAACAACTGTCGGTGACGATATTGGTTTTGAAGAAGCAGGCGCTGGAGCTCAACTTGGTATTTATGAAATAATCGAACTCAAAAGAAACTGAAATTTAAAGTGTTAGCTACTTAAACATTGACTGATTTTCATTTTAACCATTTATTCTCATAACGATTTCAGAAGAGTCATTAATGAAACAACAATTAAAATAGAGTATTGACCTCGTCAGTACGTCAATAGTATACCAGATCGACAAAGTATGCTTTCCTGTATCCAGAATGATTTAGTAACCGTAGTTGCTATTGAAGAGTAGTAACATAGAAAATTCTATTTTTTAACTTTTGTGAGTAGTTTGTTAATTTTGCAAAAGTACCATCTAGTTTTTCTAATTCAACAATATGAATAAAGAAAAAGCTGATACATTAAAAAGATTTTCTTTATTTTACAAGACATGTACTTCTGAAACAATTTTCTACTACTTCAAATATGATTAAATTTAAAACAACTAGGATGTGGATGTAGTTTGAGTCCTTTCTTGTTCGACATCGACATCTATATCAAACACTTATATAACAACGAATGATACTTGTATTTATTAAATAATAACAATCTGGTTAGTTATTTATGCATAAATAATATCATGTATCATGTTTAGACGAGAATGTCTAAATTTTTTTATCATATCGTCACTTCCAATAGCAACTGGAATTGCTATTTAATGTCGTACAATCTCTTGTTCAACTAATTCATGTAAAAATTTTCAAACATATTTTATTCAATAGCAGTAACTTTCATCGATATTCATCACACAGTACATCATCAAGATATATATTTCTCGTGGATAAAAAAAAAGAGGCTCTGTTTTTCTAATAAAATCATACTCGTCTTTTTTGTAAGTCATATATCTTGGAGACACAGCAATGATACCACGTATTCTTTTTTTTTGGTCAATTGGTAGTTTAGAAAATTCTCTATATACAATACGTAAGGAGATTGTTAATATCACGGGTTCTCTATTTTCTGCAATGTTTCTAAAAATTGCAAATTCAGTTGCTAATGGGAAGTACAAGATTAACATCTGCAATGGAAAAGGGGAAGAGTCTCCTTAAACTACAGATAATCATTGAAGGCATGAAAGAGATTTATTTAAATCAGGTTCTTTTATTCATTTAAATATTAATTATACTTTCAGTATCAGTTATTCATGCATCTGACATGACACACATAAAACAATTAAATTAAAAATTTAATCAAGACATCAACACATAAACACACACATTATCTGATAATAGTATACTACAAATAAAATATACATTAATAAAGAAAGTTTTATTTATTTTTTTGTTAAAACATTCTTGTTCTTCTTTGTTGTTTTCTTCATTATTATCTTTGAATCATTATCATCAAAATTTAAAAAGTAATTTTGATAAATTTCTCTATATACATCACTTTGTAAATAACTAGCTAATCGTGTTAAATTATTCATTTGTAAAGCAAGTTCAGGAATAAATGGATTTGGTTCAAATCGATAAATATGTTTAACATTACCCAAATCAAGTTTTCCTATTTAAAGAAAATATACACACATTAATATTACTGATAGGATATATTGCAGCTGATCTTGATATTTTATAATGTTTGAAAAATTGTTCTCATTCGCTCTACTTTTGGCGAATAATTCTGATTTTCTGACTTTTAAATGTTCTTTCGTAAGAGCACCGAAAATGAGAAAAAAACAGAATTATTCGTCAAAACTAGAACGAATCAGAACGATTTTTAAAAAAATCAGGATCCATTGTGGCACACACTAATAGGAAAAACTTTCTTTTTACTCACCAAAAGCCGGTGGTAAAACATTAATTTGATTTTGTTGAATATGAAGTTCTCTTAATTGATGTAAGCGAGCCAATTCTTTTGGTATATGACGTAGACGATTGTTACGTAAGACAAGCTGAAAGAAAAAAAAAAGTGATTTTGTCTCACATGAATGATTTCATACTACAAATATATCGAGTATCAAATCATTGACCAAAAAAGAAAAAAAAACTACTTTTATAATGCCAGGTTCTACATCATCAAATATTGTACGTTGAGTTTCTTTCTCACGAAAAAAAAAAAAAAAAAAACATCACAAAACTTTAACATTCAATTTAGAATACAGCTAAACGAACACGTCGTTCAAATAAACAAAATCGTCATCGACGTGAATTATCACATGTGATACGTTATCCATCATTAAATAATATTGCTTATTATGCGAAATATTTCTTTTTTAAAACAGCATTTGGTCGTATTGTATTATTATTTACAATGTTTGCTGGATTTAATATATATTTTTTTTCTCAAGTTTATTGGCCAAAAATTTCAGTATGGTTACAAAATTCTACATCAACATCAACATCAATTGATACTACATCTTTTGAATCACATACTGAAAATGAATTCTAAGTTTTTACGTACAATTTGTAGGTTTTGTAGTTTGTCAACATGATCATTTGGAAATGTTTCAAATAAATTATCGCCAAGGTATAGCGCACGTAGATTACCTTGAATAAATATATACATATATATCACGTATGACAAAAATTTTGCAACATGTTTTTTTGCATGTAACTTTCAGGGGCGTAACTAGGAAGGGGGCGTTACGCCCCCTCTTACTCCTAAGACCTAGATACACACCTGATAACTCTGTTCAGAAATATGATAAAATGTTGATCATTTTTTTTTTCTAACAGATTTATCATTGGATATTTTACTCAGATTACAACATCAAATCATTATATCTATTTTTGAAAATTTTAATAGACTGTTAATACGGAACAAGTATGTCATCGTATTATTTGCTACAAGAAAATATAATAGAAAATCGAAAATCTTTGAATTTTAGTTTTGGTAATAATTGTTCATTCATTTTGGTTATAATGTTTGGAAACGTAGTGTGACCTTCAAAGCATGAGGATTAGTAAGCATCCATATCTCAAATACAAGTGTAAATAGAATAACCTTTGTGTCAATTAATTGGGGCACTTCGCCCTGAAATAGAACGTTTTTTTTTTGTTATGTTACTCTCAAATATATCGTCTAAAAATAGTGAGCTCGGTGTACAAATCGCTAGATTACTCTCCTTCGACTGTTGAATGAAATAATAAAAAAAAAAAAGAAAAGATTAAGCTTAAAAAAATAATACAATAAGAACTTGACTTCAAATGAAGATGATGAAAATACGTTAAGGAGAAATCAGCACTAAACTCATAGGAAGTATTGGTCTTTTTTTCAATACTACAAACAGTCCATTGTAGTTAACGTCAATCTAATTAAAAATGGCCTTAGTTATCAATCATGAGATAGGATTTTTCGATTTTTCCCTGCGGAAAATAATTAGAGTCGATCAGATTAGTCCCGGATCCGATCAGATTTGGGTCTGAAATAAAAGTTTTGGTCATGTGATTCGAGTAAAACATTCAATGGTGCATCTTTTGAAAAAAAAAGAAGATCAACGTTTAACGGAGTTACATGCAAAATAAAAACTGTTACAAAACTTCTGTCACATCCAATATATATTACTTAGTTGAAAAAAATCATTAGTTAAACTATCTTCATGTAAATCATTGCCAGTTAAATCGAGAATTTCAAGAGATTTAAGTGAACCAAATGAACGAGGTAATGAACAAAGATGATTATGACCAAGTTTAAGAATACGTAAATGAGAAAGTGAAATAATTGCTGGAGGTAATTTCTGTAACAAAAAAGAATGTAAATCATTTATAAAAAAAAGATTTTTGACTTGATAATCGAATACTTTCAAAGAAAGTGTTAAAATAATAATTAATTATATACCTCAAGATGATTATTTGTCAAATTAAGCGTTTTTAAATGTATCAGATTTGATATATGCGATGGTAAATCTAAAATTATTACAATCAAATATAATTATAATAAATATTCTTTCGTTTTTTTGTTTTTCTTAAAGAAATATTTAATCTTACTTTTAAGTTTATTATGTGCCATATTCATATAAAGAAGTTGCTTTAAATGACATGTAACTACACAAAAAAAAACATATATATATATATATATATGAAATTTATCAATCAAATACAATAATCATTTTTATCGAATTTATTGAAAACTTCTCTCCATGTCATCAATTTTTCATCAAAACCAACAGTTCGAACTGTTTATTCATTTTTTGTCAAGTATTTTTTTTTATAATTCTTCTATTAAATTTTATATTTTCTATCTTGAACAGATCGATTGCTGCTGAAAAAAAAAGTCGATTTTAATATGCCACCGTATATTTCGTTAGATGACGCTATCTTTAATAAATAATTAAACTCAAAAACTAAGCAGAAGCAGCTCGGTGCAGTTGGTACTAGCCGTTGGAGCAGGCTTACAATGTATTAGAGACACAATCTTGACTGAAATTCAACAATTTTCTAATAATTTACGAATATTCATGTAGTAAGATATTAAAAAAATCAAGCGAAAAAACCGCAATTAACCGGTAGTTTGCACGGCATGAATTCTTACGCAAATACTAAACGTCTATCTAACAAGAGAACCTGTCCGACTGATACTCTTCATTTTAGTTCCTATTTTTTTTCGAAGATAGGACTCACTGTATAGGTAAAAACCTTGAAAGGATTCGTATCATTAGGACCACTCTTTTCGAATAATGGATATTTTACTGAATTTCTAGCCTATTGTAGAATATTACAAGAAAAAAATCGTAACAAGAAATTCCTTCCAAAAATATTCAACAATAACAGACTTCCTAGTCAAGAGCTTTCATGAGAAAATAATGTTTTTCTGTTTTTGCAAACGTATAATCTCAAACGAGAAATCTGAAAATTGAATGAAATAGCTCTAACTCAAGAAATGTCTAATGGCACAAATCCTTCCAAGATTTTTACCTATACTATGAGAAAAATAAAAGCTTCAATCGAAGATATCAGTTGAAAAGATTCATTCCAAAGATGAAACGAAATTCTATACAATTTTATATTTAAAAAATACAGAATATGTGTGTGAAATATTCTATTAATTCTTCTGATTACTTACTTAAATCCCAACAATAATCATCAATAAATTCGATATTTGTATCATTTAATATAAATTTATGTTCATCCAAATGTTCAAGACTTGTTTCAATAGCTCGTTTAATTTTTGTTGGTATTCCATCCCAATTAAGATTACTATTAAACATCTAAATAAATAAAGTATGTTTTATCTTTTGTTTATTAGGAATTATCATCTCTCTGTGTCTATTTATAATTCAATGATCAATAAAAATTAACGTTGTATGATGTTTTTATTTTTGTTTGTTTTCGACAAAAAATTAAAATAGGAACATGTTCGTTATCACAAAAAGAAAGAAAAAAAAAAGGAAGTGAGACAAATGTCAAAAACCAACAAAAAAAAAAGACAGATAAATAAAGGACAGAAGACATTTTTTTTTGTTCCTTCGACATATACAAGATGTTTTTAATATAATATATATATATATATATGCATATAAAAGAAAATAGCTAACATCGATATTGCTTTCGAATGCAATTAATCAATGTTGTGCACTGGTTTCTTTAATAGAAGCAAAAAGAAAAAGACTGAAGTTGAATACAAAGAACAAAAAAAAGAAAGAAAAAGAAAAGTAAGGGTGTTGTTTGATAATAAAGAAAAAGAAAAAATAAAATAATGAACTACAACAGTTGTTATGATTGTATTTCAACACTACTGTTGCAAATGCCAAGTAGAATTTGATCCATTGTTATTATATGTACGTTGTTGTTGTTGTTGTTGTCCATGATGATAATAATTATTTCGATTGTTAGTACTACTATATGAAGCACCATTACGATTATCCTGTAAAAAAACAAAAGAGAGAAATATTACTAGTATTGATTGAAAACAACAAAAAACACCTGTTCATAACAATCAGATACGCTAACAAATGCAAGTGAATACATTTTTATAACAGGTGAATTGAATGTTGAAAGAGATAGTAAAAGTTATGATTATCAATGATAACAAAATGTTTTTATTGAAAACTTTTATGAGATGTGATAGAAGAAAATATTAGCAGAGGTCGGTAAATACTCGTACTTGAAGAGTCTGTACCAGAGATGCGCGAAACCACAAGTTTTTCTGGTTCGGATCTGGAGTACACTATTCCAGAATTTATTTGTATCACATCTAAGAAAATCCTTCCATACTTGTTTTTTTCTTTTGATTTATGTAGTCGATGACAAGCATCTCTTTTTGAGTTATCTCTTTTGAATTATGTTCTGATTAATATGATTTATAAGATACTTATATTAAAAACATAGAATATTTAACTCTAATCTTTATACGAGGTTACTTGTCCAGATGTGTCAAATTGCTTTTTCACTGAGACAATGCTCGTTTGATAATTTCTAAGTAGTAATAGAAAAACCAAATTGTTCTAGACTTTTTCTATTACTCATTAAATGAACATCGTCTAGGTTGCAAAGCGATTTTACATCTGGAGAGGTTCTCTCGTTAGGTATTGATTCTCGCAGATTTTATTCTGATGCTCCTGATTCCATACATCTCTGGTTGGTACTCATATTCGTATCCAAGAAAACTCATTGATTATTTTATTGTGCTAGATCAAATTTCTTGTTATCCGTCTAAGAGATATATCGATTATAATTCGTAATTTCAGTAGAAATATTATGAATCAAAGAAAATTGAAAAGCTTTTTTTCAAATATTGCATAATAGAAAATTTGTTTTTCGTTTTAAACTCCATGAAAAATAACTGTTTGAATTGAATTATAGGTTTCTGTTGGTCATTTTTTTTTTGGTTTATAATAAACTAATCAGAAATTAATAATCTTCTAATTTTTCTGTTTCAATGTTCTTATAATCAAATACAAATGTTGTATTATATTGGTCTTAGAAAAAGTAATCAACTGTACTGGATTATAATAATCAGAGAGCTATATTTGCCGGTACTTATGACAGCTAATATAGAACATGCAAATTTTATTAAGTATTGAAGTAAAAAAACTACTCACACGATTATCAAGAGTAGAATATGATAATATTCGATCTTGATGTATCGATCCAGGTACTGATGGAAAATAATTCGGCATGGAAAATCCAACTGGATTTAAATAGAGAGTTGTTGGTGTCGAAGAAGATGCTGCCAATGGAGCTCCCTGACAGAATGTAGCTGCATTTGGTGATAATTTACTTGTTGTAGAAGTATCTTTTGTTGTTTGCGATAATGTAGACGATTGTTGTGGTTGTTGTTGATATGATATATCATTATTTAATGAACGTGTTTGTCCATAAAGTGCAAAAAATTCTTTATCATATGATTGTTGATCTTTAAATAGAAATAAAAAGTATATTAAAATAATCATCAAAATAATGATACTAACCATATTTATTTGTTGATAGATGAAATTGTTGTTGATTTGGATATGTTGGTATATAATCTAGTACAGAAAATTCCTTTTTTTTTTAAAAAAAGATAAATTAAAATAGAAAATTTCTCTTACTAGCAGTTGCATATGGATAAGATTCAATTGGTGTTGAAAATGTACCTGTTGGCCATTGATCAATTGATGCAAATACAGGAACAACCTAAAATTAAAAAAACATTTCATAATGATATATTTACAGAAAATAAATTTAATAATATATTTTACCGTTGGTTGCATAGAAGAATATGGATAAGTTCCAAGAAAGAATTGTTGTTGTTGAGTTGGTATTTGATATGATGGTTGTTGTTGATATGTTCCTGTTGAAATTATTGTTGGTTTTGAATTTGTTTTATAATTTGATGTTTGTGGATTCCAATTTGTTGTTGTTTGAGAATAATCTCTTGGCATAGATCTATTCATATAAAAAAAAAAAATAAATAAACAAATAATACAATAAATTAATTAATAAAATATCTACGGATAATTAACAAGTGTATTAAATGGAGTAAATGCTGATGAATTAATACCATTATTACTCTGTTGAAGATTATTTAACATATATTGAGATGTTGTTGATGTATGTTCTGATGCACGTGGTGTTGATGTAGGTGGTAAACGTGTCATAGGAATTTGTATTGGTACTTGTTGTTGAGATGAATATTGAGTTGGAATTGGAGATGATGTATCAGTTAAATGATCAGATAAATGAGATGTACCTTCAGGAGGAACAATTGGTAAACTATTAGACTAAAAAGAAAATAATTTATTAATAAAAATAAATATATGATAATGAAAAAAAAAAAGATTTAATTACAATAGTATTATCAGTAATTGATAATGATGAAAGTTGATTTGTTGTTTCAATTAATGGATTATCAATTTCGTTCGTTGTTTGATGATTAATATAATTCGATGATAAAATATTTTGAATACTGAAATTTTAAAAATTATTCTATTAAAATTCAAAATATCTTTTATCAAAAAATTTTTTATTGCTTTATTCGAAATTTTTTCATCATTTTGATAATTCTTGATCTTATTCTATATCGAAAAATACAATAATCGTCTTCACATAACGGATGATAAAGCCTGTCGAGTACAAAATTTTCAGACTCAAACTCGATTCAATAGTAGTTTGTTATGTTTAGTAAAATGTTCTCATCGAAATCGAATAATCATCTCGAACATACGAGATACTTGTTTTCGGCTTTCTATATTCTTCGATGACTAGAGTCCGATGAGGCCTAGATGGTATTCGAAAAATAATTTGGGAAAATGTTTACTCATTTTCTTTTTTAGCTTCTTAAAGTAGTCTACAAAAATTTGAAAACATTGTATTAGAATCAAAATCTTACTCTTGATTTTCTTCATGATTATCAGTGTCTACAGTTGATGATAAATCTTTTTCACGATTGTCTAATGTTGTTGATATAATTGTATTAGTGGACGGACTAACTGCTATAGGTACAGAATCATTCCATTGAACATCACCAAATTGTATATCAATTGGTTGAGTTGAAAATTTGACTGTTGGATGCATTGATACAGGTTCTTGAGGAATTGTTGATGATATACGACGTTTTGATAAAGTTTGTAATGATGTTTTCATTTGACTATTATCAAAACTTAATGATTGTGGTATACCATTAATAAATTCATATTCATCTGTTAATGGTGAATTTATTTGTGTTAATTCTTCATCTATTTGTTTAGATATTGAAGATATTTCATTTGGAATTGGTTGTGATGAAGTTATTGTTTTTGTTGATTTATTATGAAGTGAATAACGTGAATTAGATGGAATAAAATGACTTCGACCAGAATCATTTCCTAAGAAAACAAAAGAATTTTTATTTTCAATTGAAATTAATCAATTAAAAACAAATTTACCACGTCGTCCCATATTCATACGTGTTGATGTTGAATATTGATAATGATCATTTCGATGATGTCCACCACCACCACGAAGTGATGAAGTTGGAGATGTACGTTGAGAAAGAGAACGTTCACTATCACTTAAATTATTACCATTTATTTTTTGATCAATTAAATTATGATTTTTCTTTTTATTATTTGATTTAGCTGTTTGCCATCCACCATCCTATGAATAAAACATTTGTTGTTTGTTTCTTTTTTTTTTTGTTCTCATAGAATTTTATTTTTTTACCTCAAAATCTCCTGCACGTATTCGATTTATTGTTTGTTGCACATTATAATCACATTCATGAAAGACAAGGGCTATTTTTTCAGGATTAACATTACCACATGCTTTTTGTATCTAAATAAATTGAAGAATCAAGAATTTTTTTTTTTTTTAGAAAAAAAAAAAACAATTTGAATAATATATACCAGTAAAATCTGTTCTTTAACAGATACATCATCAAGTTTTTCTGGACGTAATCGAGCAAGACGTGTTTGATCGATATTATTCATTCTTGATGGCTGAAAAACAAAAATTCGATTTTTAAATTGTATTAAACAAGAAATATTACAATATTAAGAATAACTAAACGAATTATAATATAATTTCCTCATTATTCAATTATCGTTGGAAAAATCCAAATTACATAATTAGGAAATCGAAAAGTAATATGAATAAGTTTTTTTCTCAATACCTCAAAAAAATCGCGAACATCATCAAAGTTACAAAAAAAAAAAAAAACATAACGTTCGAAATGAGTAACCTACGAACACCCAATGATTACTTTTATTTTCACTTATAATAAAAAATGTTTTATATCAAGTTAGACAAAGGTAGTATGCATAAAAACTGCGAACCACACGGATACCTATAGTTATTTTGCTTGTAATTGTAAAAGATAACAACAGTTACCTTGATATTTATTTGTAAAATATCTTATATAATTAAAAATCAAAGTAACTCATAGGTAGTGGTGTTCGTATGATATTCGTTTCGAACGTTATCTTTTTTTTTTTGCAGCTTTAGCGGTGTCCGTAGGTTTGATGCAATTACGTATAAATCATAGTATAGCTTTTGAAAAATTACACTTAAGTCTAACGTTTAGACAGTTGTATTATAATCTCATTACAAAAATCAGAATATTTGAATAATGATCTGATTTTTTTTTTTTTTTTTTTGTAAACTATAAAATGTTTTGCTAATAACAGATGAAAATCTTTTTTCTCTTTATAGAAATTAATATAACTTACATCAGATCGATTATTATTCTTTTCTTTGTGTAATATTAAATTAAAAACTAGCCATAATTAATAGAAATAATATATATATATATGTATATATAATTATGATGCAATTCTCTTATATTTTCATTTTAATAATATCATAATTACGTATGAAAATATCTTAATTAATAAATAATTTAATATAATATTTATCTTTATTTTTAAAATCAAGACAAAAAAAATCAAGATTGGAACGATATTAATAGTAAGAACAATGAGAAGAATTCACTAGGGTTTTTTCTTTTTCTTTTTTTTATTCTAGAAATATACCAACGAACCAAAAAAAAAATATCTGTAGATCATAAGGGTTATTCTTTGGATAACCAATCAAATAAGTTTAAAGCATTAATGCATTTATTAAAAAGTAAAATCTTATGATTGAATAAAAATGAGATTAGTGTTTAGCCAAACATTGTTTAATTGAGATATTCACGACGGACGAAAAAAAAAAAAAAACGAAGAACAAGATATATTCTTTTCTAGATTAAATCTACTTTATCATTCTATTTCTTTTTTTTGGCTTCTTCTTCTTCTTCTTCTTCTCTTTTTCGTTATCGTTGTGGTTGTTGTTGTGTCAAAATGGATATAAATCAATCGACCGGCAATAAAATGCCGAGTCAAGAACATATTAATTTTATAAATAAATTAAATGATGCTAAAATTCCACGACAAAGTCAATTAATTGCTAATCGTTTATTTATGAAAAATTTTCCTCGTGAAGTAAGCGAAAAAAAAAAAAACAATGAAACCTATTCATTTTTGTATCTTTTATTTAAGACAACTAGTGCTGAAATTGAAAATTATTTTCAATCATTTGGTGCTGTACATGATGTGAAAATAATTGCTAAAGAAAATACGTATGTTTTCATTTGACAAAAAAAAAAAGATATGTTTTTTGGTTTTTTTTTCTTTTAGACATTTTGCATTCATTTCATTTGTTAATGAAAATACTGCTTTAGATGTACTACGTCAACATGCTATTGTACCACTAACATTTAATAATCATCCGATTGTTTTAGCACCTGCTTATAAAAAAAATACTGTTCTATCAGTAACAAGTAAGATATTAAATAGATAAAAGAAAAAAGTTTCAATCGTTTGTCAAACTATTGACATGTAAGAACTTCAGTGTTCATCAATACCTCGAACTATTTTACTTACGACAGAATATATCCAATTGTTAGACATCGTTCAGCTTCATATTACGGTTATTTCGAGAAAGACATATTCAGTTTTTGAAGAAACCTTCAGGATTATCAAATCACCCTATAGTCCACAACTCTTTCGAGTGATCTTAGTAAAACGGTCATAACTGTTCTTTCTAGAGCCCATAGACGTAAGTTTTTCTCAGTCTCACAGACAGCCGTAATATGAAATCGAATTGCGTCTCCCGCAACAGGTGGATATGTTCGCTTGTTAGAGAAATATTATAAATATCAACATGTGTTAGGTCCTACATCCCATTATTCAACGAATGGTTCGACAGTAACACCACCATCAACACCATCACGAACAACAGTAAATGGAATATCTCAATCACAACAACTATCAACACCATATCGACAACAGCTATTATCAACTCCACATACTGTTTATCCACCAATATTTTTTCCTGTACAAACAAATGTAAGAATAAATAAGAATTTATATTATTAAAACTAATGATTAATATTCAGATGCCATTTGTTCCCATGGCTGGTACTTATATGATACCTCAAGGTCCAACACCTCCGCATCATCCGGTAAAGATAAATGTTAAATAAAATGATTTTGAATTACAAAAATATTTTTTAATTTTAGCAATTACCACCATCTTTCTATCCAACATTTTATACTCAAACACCTACTCATCAACCAAATGGACATATAATTAATGGAGTATGTCTTTTAATTTAAATAATATATAAGACCTATAAAAAAAAGAAAACTTTCCTTTTTAGCATGCTTATGTTCCACAACCTCCGTATATGTATTCGATGGGACCACCACCAATTCCAGCACAGTATCAACCAACGACAACATTCAATGATGTATCCATGACAAGCGAATATTGATATATTCTTTTTTTTTTTCTCATCTCGATTCATCCAAAAAAGAAAAGTCTTCCTACAATTCTTTCTTCTAGTATTCTTTTTTTTTCTTTTGCTCAGATTTCTTCTATTCAACAATCTATCCAAAGAGAAAAGACTACTAAGTCGATATCGCGCCTTTTGAGTAGTGTGTGTGTGCGTTGCTTTGATTCTTCTTTTTTTTTCCCTTTTGAGTGTGTGATGATGGTGCCTTTCTCACCGGTGTATTAACAGCTAAGATTTCTTTTACGCTTTTTTTTTCTTTTGTGTGTACAGCAACGTGATATCATCCTTTATGATCATCTATTTTTTTTTGTCTCACGCTTTCCTTCTATGTCAGATCATTTATTCTCAGGAAAACTTTGCCGGTTATCATGTTTTTTTCTCTTCTTTCTTTTGTCAGATATAAGCACACAGTGCCATGGTTTCTCTTTTACTTTTCGTCTTTCTGCTATACGATCGTCTGTAATAAAGATTAAAAAAAAGACATACACACGCGTTATATATATATATATATTACTTGCTTAATAATCTATTTTAATCAGACCGGAAGATTAAAAAAAAAAGAAGTTTTTTTGTTTTGTTTGTGTTTTTGTTTTAAATTATGTTTTAGACAATCGTTGGTCGAATAACCCAATAACGATTGAATAATGACCCATTACGACGAAATGTAAGAAGAAAAAGACCATTTTTATTGAGTGCAAAATCATTTATTATTAATGATGTATTAGAATAATCGAGTAATGTATGAAGACTATGTTCAGCTATTTGTTCACCTTGTTCATCTAGAACAAATAGATATGTACCACATGTTAGAAAGTATTTGCCTCGAAACCAGACAACTCCCGTTGGTAGCTTATAAGAACACATTGTTAATGTACGAATTGGTCCTCCAAGTAGTGTATACATTTGAATAGTGGCTATATATTCAAGTGAATAAGTAAATAGTCGATTATTTCTAATAAATAATTTAAGTGGTAAAAAATTTAAACGTATTATTCTTTGAGGTATACCCATACGTGTATAAATTCTTATAACTCGATATGTATCATCACATAGATAAATTAAACCTGTATGAGTTATAGCTAAACAATCACTACGTATTATAGATACACTTAATAAATTTGGTGTAAGACAACGTATAAGACGATTATCAGGAGAAAATATATAAATATAATAAGCAAGTGTTGAAATTAAATAAATATAACCATCTTGATCAATATGTATTTGTGAAAATGAATAAGCATTATGTATAGTTGAAGATGAATATCTATCATGAATTGATAATTGTATTTGACGAAGAACTATTGATGTTAAATCAATAATATATGTACCATTTTCATTAAGTAATAATAATTGTTGATTTCGATTATCAATTATTATAAATCTACCATCAGGATAAGCTTCTATAGATGATAACCAACGTGTTTCATTAAATAATAATTTGTATTCATATATATTTATATAATCTATTGTAGATGGATATGATGATCGATTATTGACGAATGTTTTTATTGTTGTTGCTTTTGTCGAACTTAATGGTAAGTTAGGTAATGTTGCATGTGGATATATTGTCCATAATGGTATTGAATATGATTCATATGTACGAAGATATGAATAAAATTCTTGAAGATCAGTATTAGAATTAATCGTATATTGTTCTAAAATAAATTCAAAAGATGTTTTTTTGTTTTGTGTCTCGTCTATTCTATTAGTTTAAATAAGAAATTACTTTTTGTAAATTGATCAAAACAATTTTCATATAATTCTGATGATGGTAATAATTGAGTTAGTGACCTCTGAGGTTTTATATAATTATAATATAATGCCGGAATTTGTGACCAATGTAAACGTTGTGTACTTTGACTTATATAACAATATAATTCATTAGAATTTTCTTTTCGAGAATCAAAAAAATCACGTAAAAATATCATATCATAGTGATATAATTTACAATCACCTAATTCAATATGAAGACCTAAAAATAAGAATTTGTTTTTTGTTTATAGTATTTCGAGAAATTTATCTTATTATTAAAAATAAAGATAGTTTTGATGTTTTTTTTATCACTTGCTTAGAAAAGATTTGAATTAGTAAAACAGTATTGTTCAAGATTGAATTAAATTTTCTCTATTTCTACTCATAATACTTCAATGTTCCTAACTTCATAACTCATTATTATTAATAATGCAGACTTAAGCTCAGGATTTCCGACTTAGCAAATACATTGGAGATATATCATGTTGACGTTGAAGTTTAGTACTAGTGACTAGATTGAAAATTCTTATGAATAATACACAATTTGAGATATAATTAATATGCTTTTTGCGTTGATAGTAGCATTGTCACTCATAACTACCTTCGTTTTTTTTTTATCAATTCGACACTCGGAAAAGAATGTTTTATTTCTGAAAAGATTAGTTTTTGTTATACAAGCTTGTGTCGAATAAATCATTATAAACGAGAGGATTAGTTAGCTATTATTTCATTGAGTCGCTACAGGCATAGAGGATTAGTATCATTCATTGGACATCTGTGCGACTAATTTTTTCACATTAAGTTTGTTTTTCTCAAAAAGAAAAAAAACCTTTCAGATGTGGTGTCATATTTCAAAATAGTTGATTGAAATTACTCATGTTTCTTTGTATAGATGTTATTGGAGTTATTTACATTACCTTAATTCAACGTCTCGTGTGAAATACTAAAATCATAGCGAGAGAGCTCTTGAGAATTGCTTGTCATAGCATCTCTTATGAGTATCACATTGATACTTATGAAGTTAGACTCCGAGGTAGAGTAGTTAATTTAAGAAGTATCGAAAAAGAACTTTATAAATACGGCCGCCACTAGCAATGCGAAAATATTTTGATTATATCTTAAATTATATATCATTCATAGAGATTTGAAGATATAAGTTTTATCTCGAAAAAAAATTCTCTACAAAATACGTTAGGTCTTATCGCTTGGTGGAAACATTTTTTTTTTGTATAGTATTGTTTCTTTCAAATGGATTTGCTCAATTAAAATAAAATTTATTAATGCCTGGAGAAGGACGTCAATCATGCATATACAATTTATTATTATTAAAGAGAAAGTTATCAACATTTATTCATTGATGAAATCCAATTAAAAGTACATTGATATTTAGGATAGAGAAATTTTTAACACTTATTTGTGTTGTGTAATTTCAGTATATTATTTCATTTGATTATAGAGACCACATCTAGCATTTCTATTTTTTTTTCTAACCTAATCTGCCATGTACGTTACCAATAATTATCGCACTTTTCATCTTTAAATAGAATTGAAAGACGGACATTTAAAAGTTTTGATAAAAACGTAATTACTAATAAATATCCATTATTATTAAAAAGTGCGTAGAATAGAAAAACGTACTCAAAGGAACCTCTTTCATTCTAATCTAAAAAAAGGATTCTTTAAACGAGCAAATTATTGCTCTCACTAGTATAGTTTCTTTGCCCTTTTGACATTTAAAGGACAAAATGTAAATGTTAAAACAGAACATAATATTTTCTTTACATGTTTGTTTACAATTCAAAATTTTATTTTCAGATGCATAAATAAGAAGAGTTTTATAGTCTATTTTATATTTCATAAAAAATTGTGATTAAATGAAATATGATTTACATACATGGAATTGGACGTAGCCATTCTCGAATAGCTGTTTGTTGATTATAATTCAAATAAATAATTGGATACCAATCGAGAACATTAATCCATAATTGTTTAAATCTAACAGATGGATATCGTAAATAAATGGCATATAAATCCATTCCTGACCATCTTGGGTAAGGATTTTGTATATAAATACTTGAACGATTTGAAAATTGAAAAAAATTTAATAATTCTGTAATACTACCATGTGTATTAATTATTTTAAGATAATCAATAGGTATTAATTTTTTTGTTTGATCAATACGTATAATAAAACTTAAATTTTCTATAATTAATTTTTTTAATGAATTTAAACACATTGACCATGTTGAATCGAATTGAAAATAACATTGATAAAAATGATCAAAACAATTATAATCATTATAAATATATAATTCATCAATATTTTGACGAATTAATAAACGATTATCATTTCCACATAAAGTATGTGATGAAAAATAAAAATTAAATAAATTTCGACATTCTAATCGACGTTCACTTGTTAAATAACAACCTTACAAGACAAAATTTTATATTTAAAAAAAAAAAAAGAACAAAACATATAAATTAATTTCTATTCTTTTTTTTTGAATCTCTTACTCCATGAAGATGCTTGATTATTAGAACGATTTTGTTCAATACCATTTGTAAATTTAATGATTAACTCAAGCAGAATTATTAAATATAAGTATATGAAATGCATTTTTGTGCACGGTCATATGCAAATGTAGGTTAGATCTACTAGTATCCATTGCTTGTTCACTTCAATCCCTTGATAATTGACATTCCAGGTCGGAGTTTTTTTTTTCTCCTTTTTTTTTTTTTTTTTTCGTAAGCTTATTTTCTTTTTTGTTATGTCTAACCTGTTCAATTCAAGGTTAATAGTAAAAATATTTAGTAGGCAAGTGCATAGTATAGAAAAAAAAAATCGATTAGCTATATTATTTATTAAAAAAAAGTCTTTGTGATTTTACAAGGACATTGTCAATGATTCAAAAACAATAGAAAATCGATAATAAGAATTTGTATTGA